GGCGCAGCCACTGGGGCCTTCGGTGGAGCTCCCTATAAAGCCACGAAGCGTGTGAGGGGTGTGCCAAAATGGGGGGTGGAACCGCATGCGAGCGCAGCCACTGCGGCGTTCGGTGGAGCTCCCTATGGGGCCACGAGACGTGTGAAGGGCGTGCCGAAAAAAGGGGGTGGAACCGCATGCGAGCGCAGCCACTGGGGCCTTCGGTGGAGCTCCCTATGGGGCCACGAAACGTATGAGGGGTGTGCCAGAATGGTGGGCGGAACCGCATGCGGGCGCAGCCACTGGGGCCTTCGGTGGAGCTCCCTATGGAGCCACCCACGAAGCGTGTGAGGGGTGTGCCGAAATGAGGGGGTGGGACCGCATGCGAGCGCAGCCACTGGAGCGTTCGGTGGAGCTCCCTATGGGGCCACGGAACGTGTGAGGGGTGTGCCAGAATGGGGGGTGGAACCGCATGCGGGCGCAGCCACTGGGGCCTTCGGTGGAGCTCCCTATGGGGCCACGAAACTCGTGAGGGGTGTGCCAGAATGGGGGGTGGAACCGCATGCGGGCGCAGCCACTGGGGCCTTCGGTGGAGCTCCCTATGGGGCCACGAAACGTGTGAGGGGTGTGCCAGAACGGGGGTGGAACCGCATGCGGGCGCAGCCACTGGGGCCTTCGGTGGAGCTCCCTATGGGGCCACGAAACGTGTGAGGGGTGTGCCAGAATGGGGGGTGGATGGAGCATGGAAACGGCGCAGCCGCATGCGGCGCAGCCACTGGGGCCTTCGGTGGAGCTCCCTATGGGGCCACGAAACGTGTGAGGGGTGTGCCAGAATGGGGGGTGGAACCGCATGCGGGCGCAGCCACTGGGGCCTTCGGTGGAGCTCCCTATGGGGCCACGAAACGTGTGAGGGGTGTGCCAGAATGGGGGGTGGACCGCATGCGGGCGCAGCCACTGGGGCCTTCGGCGGAGCTCCCTATGGGGCCACGAAACGTGTGAGGGGTGTGCCGAATGGGGTGGGTGACGCATGCGGGCGCAGCACTGGGGCCTTCGGCGGAGCTCCCTATGGGGCCACGAAACGTGTGAGGGGTGTGCCGAATTGGGTGTGGGTGACGCATGCAGGCGGCAGCACTGGGGCCTTCGGCGGAGCTCCTATGGGGCCACGAAACGTGTGAGGGGTGTGCCGAATTGGATGTGGGTGACGCATGCGGGCGGCAGCACTGGGGCCTTCGGTGGAGTTCCCTATGGAGCCACGAAACGTGTGAGGGGTGTGCCGAAATGGGTGTGGGTGACGCATGCGGGCGCGGGCACTGGGGCCTTCGGTGGAGCTCCCTATGGAGCCACGAAACGTGTGAGGGGTGTGCCGAAATGGGTGTGGGTGACGCATGCGGGCGCGGGCACTGGGGCCTTCGGCGGAGCTCCCTATGGAGCCACGAAACGTGTGAGGGGTGTGCCGAAATGGGTGTGGTGACGCATGCGGGCGCGGGCACTGGGGCCTTCGGTGGAGCTCCCTATGGAGCCACGAAACGTGTGAGGGGTGTGCCGAAATGGGTGTGGGTGACGCATGCGGGCGCGGGCACTGGGCCTTCGGTGGAGCTCCCTATGGAGCCACGAAACGTGTGAGGGGTGTGCCGAAATGGGTGTGGGTGACGCATGCGGCCGCGGGCACTGGGGCCTTCGGTGGAGCTCCCTATGGAGCCACGAAACGTGTGAGGGGTGTGCCGAAATGGGTGTGGGTGACGCATGCGGGCGCGGGCACTGGGGCCTTCGGTGGAGCTCCCTATGGAGCCACGAAGCGTGTGAGGGGTGTGCCGAAATGGGTGTGGGTGACGCATGCGGGCGCGGGCACTGGGGCCTTCGGTGGAGCTCCCTATGGAGCCACGAAGCGGTGTACTGGGTGGGTGAAGAGGAGAGGAGGAGAGGAGGGGAGGAGAGGAGGAGAGGAGAGGAGAGGAGAGGAGAGGAGAGTAGAGGAAATGAGAGGAGAGGAGAGGAACGCGGGGCACCGTCTCTTCAAAACGAGGACCCAACACCACAGGATGGTTGGGAAAAATCGTCGCCAGACTATTTTTTGACAATTTTTGAATATTCCCCCTGTAGAAGGACACGCCCGACTTAACCCTGGCCCGAGGACGACGACAACTACGACGACGACGATGGCACCTCCTCCGCCTGGCCCATCCCAGACCTCCAGCGTATGGAACGGAAGCATCGAGGCTGAGATGTTCCTCAATGTGTAGCCTCTGGGAGCTCTCGCCGGGCCCTGGGACGGTCAAAAGACGCCTCGGGACGAACAACTGGCCCCGCGGGGACCCCGAGTTGACAAAGTCAAGACGTCGGACGTCTGGGAAAGCTCCAGGTCCAGGAGCTACCTCTTTCACAGCTCGTGTCTCCGCCGAGCATCGGGCCCCGGCCGACGGCTCGAACACTGCCACAGCACGATTGGGCCTCGCAGCGCCGGATCTCAGAGAGGGTGCCCCCAACCTTGGCGCCTCACGGGGTTCTGTGGGCCCAGTGCACGGGGGCGCCCTCGAGGCCCTCGGGGGCCCCCCCCAGGAATCTTGCGGGCTCCCGGAGCGACAAGGACAGAAGCTCGCCATCGCTCGGACGTCCACTCCCTGTGCTCTTTTCGGTTTCGTGCGTGGCTTCTTCGCCAAATGATCCAGGATGCTCCTCGATGGTCCTCGCCGAAAGAAAAATGCACACGTCCGAGCGATGCCAAGGAAGGGGTCTTATGCACGAGGCGCAGCGACCTTCCGCCGTGGCCTACGCGGGCCGCCCGCGCGGCACGCGGCACTGGGAACGAGGGCGCTCGCGCGCCATCCGACGCGGGCAACTCTGCGCGGGAATGTCGGCACAGTCGACCCGTTTCCTCCATAGTGCAGTCATCGGCCTGACCTAAGGCACGATAAATAAGGAACGAAGCCCCTTTCTTCCAAGGAATAACGCATAGGGAACGATGAACAAATAGTACATAACGCATAGGGAACGATAAACAACGCATGCAAGACTAAGGAACGACCGAGCCCCTTTTGAAAAGTAAGCGTTCCTTATTCAAGACGCTCACTGTAGCACTTCGCCAAACGCTCTAACAGTCGCAAAGGAGGACCACAACAGAGCCCCACAAGGGTGGAGCCCCAAACCGCCGGGCCTGCCAGCCGTTCCGCCGGAGACTGCCTCACAACTGATTCTGGAATCCTGCTCTCGCCTCAGTGCTGCCAACATGTCTGGTCCGGACGGCCACGGTCCAGTTGACAACATACACCAAGGTGCACCTGGCTGTGATCTCACCTCTGTCCCCCATGGCCGAACTCCTACAATCGGGGCGTTGACCTAAGGAACCCTAAATAAGGAACGAGGCCTCTTTTTTCCATAAGTTAAACTTTGATTCCCCATCGAAAATCTGAAGAAAACCTAGGGCAAACTGTGAAACAATGAAGGAACACGGAGCCCCTCCCCAACGAGAAGGGTTCCTTCTTCAGCGCCCCGACTGTACTCCTCGGTCCGCCTCTTCACCTTTGCTGCTATTGATGTTGGAGGCGGCGCGCCGGGATGGGAACGGTCCAACGGGGCATCAGGGCAAGCCCGCTCAATGTGGGTGCCTAGGTCCTTCTGGTGTGGTTTTTCACTCCAGGTCCTTTTTTGACGTTCCCAGGGCCCGAGAACGGGTCCCGGAGACTGAAAAAGGCAGCAGAAACCTTCTCGAGCCCAGACCCTCGAACCTCGCCTGCCTGCTGACTGGAACCAGTGCTGGGCCACCTCGGACACCTCCGGCCGACTCCAACTTTAGGGTGCTTTGCTCGGATGGATTTTCCCATGAAGCACAGCCCATCATGTATTATCACGCCTCAGCCGGCACAGTGGAAGGACTCGCGCTGCCACTACACATTGCCCCTGTACGCGACAGCGTTAAGCAAGCCTGATGCTCGCGGCTCCTCTCGAAGCGTGCCGTCGAGGATGTGTGTAACAGGAGGGAACGTAGATGGACAAAGAAGTGAACCCTTGACTCCGCCCCCTCCCCTCTCCCAGAATCAAAGTTGGTCCCAGGCATTCGGCAGCACAGGCGTTCGAAGGCAAAACAAATGGAATCCCCAGGGCCTCCGCGAGGCCCGACCCGACTTTGAATCTGAGGGGAGGTGGGCGGGGGGGGCGAACACGGGGCCAAATCTGAAGGGGTTCTACATTTTTGTCCCCGTCCCTCTCGATGACCCAGACGGGGGTCCAGCTGAAAAGGGGGAGGTGCCCGTGCCCTAGATTTGGGGCAAGTGTATTGCAAACGTTTTGCGCCGTGGAATGTATGGCACACCCCAAACCGATTGCAACCCCACAAGTCTACTGCACCAGACCTGTGGCACCGCCCCCTTTTCGCTGGACTCTCTCCTGGGCCGACCAGCTTCACGGAGAAGCAAAACGGAGGCCGCTCGTCTCGGGTCGGGCGAAAGGGGGGGATAGCAAAGGGGGGGTTTGAGAATCAGCTCACGCAGCTGATTTTCCCTGCGCCTCCCGGCGCCGGAGGCGGCTGTGTATCGAGGAATGGGCCCCTCGGCGAGGCCGAAACCAGCTGCATGCAGCTCATTTCGTACCCCCCCCTTTCCCAATCCCCCCCTCTTTCGCCCGGCCCGATCGTCCTGGGCCAGGCACACCTCTGGCGCATGTCCCTGGGCGGCTGGAAGGTTATACCCCCACGGCGCCACTGTAGGGGTATAAGCTTTCCAGCCGCCCAGGGACAGGCGCCCCCGACAGCGAAACGGTTTATTTTACACTGCTCTTCGCCCGTCAATCCACGGCGAAGCAAAACGGAGGCCGCTCGTCCTGGGCCAGGCGCACCTCTGACGACCTCCCGACCACTTCCCTGGGACCGGTTTTTCATCCCGAGTCGTTTTTGACGGTCCCGAGGCCCGGCGAGGGCCCCGAAAGGCCAAAAACTATGAAAAACCTTTGTCTCGATTTTTTCGAGACGCCCGATGTCTGGGATCGTCCTGGGCCAGGCGCACCTCTGGCGGCCCCCAGGAGAGGCAGAACGCCTCTGGCTTCGGCTCGCGCGGCGACAGCGCGCCCCGCAGCGCGGCCCCGTCCGGCCAGCGGAGCAGGCCGACCACTGGCGCCGCGAAGCTCCCCGGGCGCGCCGCGTCGTGGGCCGCGGCGAGGACGGCGGCCGTCACGGCCCCGGCCAGCTCCTCACCGGGGGGGGCGAAAGGGTACAGTCGGGGCGTTGACCTAAGGAACCCTAAGTAAGGAACGATGCCCCTTTTTTCCACAAGTTAACCTTCACGGGGGGGACGAAAGGGTATTTTTTTTGACGAGGCCCCGGCCAGCTCCTCACGGGGGGGGGCGAAAGGGTAATTTTTTTGACATCAACATCGCTGAAAAAGAATGAGCCCCCTCAATCAGAGCTGTACCAGCCTCGAACTTATCCCTGTCCCTGAGATCGACACGCCCAAAGGCGATGACAATCCTTGGGAGATGCGCCCTCAAAAAAGCAGGGAATCCCGAAGACTGGCATCGTGACGAGGAGATGCCTGAGGCATAGGGATAGGGATCTGTTCCAGGCTGGTAATTTCCACTCGGGTCGGGCGAAAGGGGGGGTTTGAGAATCAGCTCACGCAGCTGATATTCCCGGCGCTTCCCAGCGCAGGGAGGCGCCCACGTATCGAGGAATGGGCCCCTCGGTGAGCCCGAAACCAGCTGCATGCAGCAAATTTCGTACCCCCCCCTTTCCCAATCCCCCCCTTTCGCCCAGCCCGACTCACGGGGGGGACGAAAGGGTATTTTTTTTGACATCAACATCGCTGAAAAAGAATGAGCCCCCTCAATCAGAGCTGTCCGAGTCGGCAGCACTGATCCCCTCCTCAAGAGACCCGGCGACCTCTGCTCGAGGGCGTGAGTGCACACCCTCGAGCACACGGGGGGGACGAAAGGGTACAGTCGGGGCGTTGACCTCAGGAACCCTGAATGAGGAACGAGGCCCCTTTTTTCCACAAGTTAACCTTCGACTTCCGATCGAAAACATAAGGAAAGCCTGAGGCAAGCTGTGAAACACTTAAGGAACGCGGAGCCCCTCCCCAACGAACAGGGTTCCTTCTTCAGGGCCCCGACTGTAGGATAGCAGAAGGTAGGGTAGAGAATCAGCTCGCGTAGCCGGTTCTCTCCAGGCGCCCCCTGGCGCCGGAAGGCGCCAATGCATCGAAGACTGGGCCCGGCGGCGAGGCGAAAACCAGCTGCGTGCAGCAAACTTCGTACCCCCCCCCCACTATCCTGCCCGTTCGTCCGGCCCGATCCCCTCCGGACGCCCGAGATGGCTGCAGCCATCGCGTTACCGGTAGGAGCGCCAACCAAGGAACGAGGGGTTGCTTTTTGGCCACGGCGGGCCTTGGCCACGAAGAGGTCTCTCGACCTAGATTTAGTAAAGGGCGAACAAACCTACCTCTCTTATGACCACCCTCGCTTCCAAGAGATACCAAACGATGCCAAACTACGGCCTGTACTGGTCAGGCCGCTTGACGAGGAGGCGCGTGGTATGACTTGGTTTTGCCTGAAAGCGAAAGCAGGGTAGGTAATTCACGGTCTGATTTAGGGCACGGCCCACAAACCAGAGCCCCTCCCGAGCTCAGAGGTGTCTTTCTCTCAGCGTCTTGCCTGTGCGGGAGCAGTGGGCACGCTGCCCAGCAACGCCGGAGCCTTACGCTAGACGACGCAACAACCTCACGCCGCGGCTCACGCGGGCCGCACGCGCGGCACGCCACACTGGAAACGAACGCGCTTGCGCGCGGCCTTGCGCGGGCAGCTTGCGCCGCGGCTGTCCGCGAAGTTGAGCCCGTGCTTTGTTGTAGCGGCGCTCAGCTGCTGCCCAACGCCGACAGCGGTCGCTGTTGGGCAGGCGGCCTCCCGCCTCAAACGAACAACGTCCGCGGCGGCACCGACAGCGAGCCCCGTCCAAAATGCGCAGGACTTACCAGCCTGGAACATATCCCTATCCCTGTGCTGGGCATCTCCTCATCACGATGCCAATCTTGGGGATTCCCTCATGTTTTGAGGGCGCATCCCTAAGATTGCCATCGCCTTTTGTCATGCCAATCGTAGGGATAGGGATTAGTTCGAGGCTTGTAAAGGACGCGCTGCCAGTCTCCCTTTGGTGACGGACTTAGGGGGCCACATGCGAACCCTACCCCTACCCCCCACGATTTCTGAGGTGGAGGGTGGGGTTCACTTCACGAGAAACCCAACCCTGAGACCCCAGGACGTCCATCGATTTTTTTGGTGTGGGAACGTCACGCTTTCCATGGCAAAACCATCGAAACCCAAGAAACCCAGGGCACCCTGGAGGCAAGCAGGGTGTTTCTTGGCATGGGTCTCCACTGTAACTCGGCTCGCCAGCGGCCTTTCGGGACGATCCGGGCACCCCCAGAACGCTCTCGTCAAGGCGCCGCTGCTGGAACGCATCCCGAGGCGTGAACCGTCGAGGAGGGTACAAGGTGCCAGCGAAAAAATACGAAAACCAGCGAGGACACGTCCGAAAGCGTTCCAACACCATGCGGTGGCCCCGAAAGCCCCCAGAACTGAGCATCCTTGAGCCGATCCATCTCCCCACTGGCGTGGCCTTGGTCCCACTGGCCACCTTACTTCCCTAGATGGGGGCATAAGCTGTTCCTGTCGGGTGGCCAGGGGTACGTGTGTGTATACACACACACACATATATATATGTATATATATATATATACACACATACATACACACTAGAACCACGCTCGCGCTGCGCGCGCTTAGGTTCTAGACGACTGCGCAGTCGTTGTCAATAGACCTTGCGCTGGTCCACGAGACCCAAGGTACCCAAGGAGAGGTTCCCCAGGCGAGGGCCGCCCTTGGCGCGTGGAGGTGCTGGGCCTTCTGGGGGATAACTTCAGGTTCGGTGGGCGGTCGCGGAGCCGTGCGAGAATCGACGTACGACGCGTCGGACGGCTCCGAATGCTTCCCAGGCTGCGTAAGTGCCGTGACTGCCACGGTGGCCAAGGAGGGTCGAAACAGCTAATAGCTTCGCGGGCCTAGCTCGAGTAGCAGACCGAGGTCAGACCTCTAGATGCTCCAGACGAACGCGCCTGATGATTCTGAATCGATTACGTGTGCGTACCAGCTCTGTTCTACTACAGCTCAAGTTAAGTACAGAAACCCGACAGCACCTGTCACCCCAGAGGCTCCGGGCCGCCAGGCCGTCGACGCCGTCGCGATGATCGTCGTGGTGGTCGTCGTAGTAAGCCTGACCAAATCAATTGTTTTTGCCTCTTGGGGCCCTCTGGGGACCGCTCGGCGAGCCCTCTTGGGCCGTCTGGGGGCATCTTGGGACGGAAAGCTTGAATTCTCCTTTCGGGATCCTGCTCGTAGGCCATCTTGGGACCGTCTTGGAGCCCTCTTGGGCCGTCTTGGGCCCCTCTTGGAGCCGTCTTGGGGCCCTCTTGGCCCGTCTTGGGGCGGTCTTGGGGGCCTCTTGGGCCGTCTTAGAGCGGCCTTGGAAGCCTCTTGGGACGTCGTGGAGCGTCGGAAGCTCGAAAGTCGAGAACCCAAAAAACATTGAAACACCGATGTAGAATCAATCGTCTTTGCCTCTTGTGGCCCTCTGAGGAGTGCTCGTCGAGTCCTCTTGGGCCGTCTTGACGCTATCTGGGGCTGCCCGGAAGCCCCGCGGGACATCTCGAAGCCTTCTGGTGTCTCTGTGACGCCACTGATGGCCATCTGGGCGGCTCTCGGGCCGCTGAAGAGGGTGCCCGGGGGCGACCCGAGGCACCTGGGAGAAGGCCCGGGGCCCTGTACCCACATATATATACACACACACATCTCTCCCTATATATATATATATATATATATATATATATATATATACATACATACATACGGCCCGCTGGGGGCCGTTGGGTCTGGAGCGCCCCTGGAGGGCCTCAGGCGGCTCTTGATGGCCTTCAGAGGGCCCCAAGACGGCCCGCTTCGAACAGGGCTCCAAGGCGACCAATATTGCCACAAGACAGCCAAAGAGGCCCCCCAGACGCCCCAAGAGAGCTCCAAGAGGCCTCCCAAGAGAGCCCCAAGAGCCCAAACCGTCCAACTTCCTCTGTAAAACGTGCGTCTTTAGCATGAGCGAACGACTTTTGCGCTTCCCGACGCTCCAAGACGGCCCATGACGCCCCCCAGACCGCCCTGAGACGGCCCAAGAGGCCCCCAAGACCGCCCCAAGACGGCCCCAGAGTCAAGAGAGCCCCAAGACGGCCCCCGAGAGGCGCCAAGGACACCCACAGAGGCTCCCAAGAGGCCCCAGCTCCCCAAGAGGCCCCAAAAGGCCCCCAGAGACGCCAAAACAACCCCCAAGAGGGATCAACCGAAAAGCACCCTGTAAGCCTCGTGGGCCCCCTGGATTAGTTCGGCGACGGTCATACATACATATATGTATCTATGTATATATATACACACATATAGATGTACAACAATGTATGTAAGCATACACATGTATTCATATTTTTATGTGTGTTTGATATATATATATATATATATATATATATAGAGAGAGAGAGAGAGAGGGAGAGAGAGAGAGAGAAAGAAAGAGAGAGAGAGAGAGATCCCGAGCTGGGGTACTGAGATCGTCGGGATCGGGATGGGGATGGGGATGCGGCAGGGGTCGGTGAAGCGACACAGTCGGACCTGGGGCAGCAGAACATCCGTCACGCAGAAAGTCCAAGGGTACTCTCCCCAGGATGCACAAGGACATCCAACAGACACCAATCACATCAAGGTACCCTCCCCGAACCGACCTCGAGCTTATTGGGGGAACCAAGGTGTACCAATACCGCTACTCCCCGAACCTCTCCTGGAGTGCGCCCTGACCAACCTTCGGAGGCGAATCCAGCGGTGGCGACGAGAGTATCCAAGGAGGCCCAAGACGGTGTACCTTTTCCTCCTTTGATCAGGGTACCCTCCCCGAACCGACCTCGATCTCATACCTCGGTCCGACCGTATCGGGGATCTTCTGACCCGGGTCAATGCAGACCCGGGTCAATTAGGCCTGCAAAATCCTGCAAAATCCTGCACCCAAACCCGGGTCAATGCGAAGGACCCTACAGGATCCTGCACCCAAACCCGGGTCAATGCGACCCTGGCGCTGCAGGATCCTGCAAGATCTGGCGCTCTGGCCGACCCCCGTCTGCACTGACCCCCGTCTCGAGGCTCCCGACCGTACTGAGGACCCACTGCGCCGGCGTGGCCACCACGCCGTTTGGGGGGAGCCCCCCCCTCCTTGACCTGGCCCGCCGAGCCCAGCGGCGCGCAGAGGCCGCGGGCTGGAACGGACCTCCTCCGGGGGGGCGCAGCGGCAGGCTCGCGGGAGGCGCAGGGCGAAGCCAGGACGAGGATAGAACCGGACGAGGGTAACACTCGGAACTCTTTGAGGTCCAGCGGCTCTGGAGGATGTCTCGGGCGCCGCGGCCTTCTCGGAGCGCTCCAGGACGCTCTGGTAGCGCTCCGGAACGCTCTGGTTCGGAGTCATCTTCGCCCTGGCCCTTGCCATCGCTCGGACGTCCATTTCCTGTGCGTTTTTCGGTTTCGTGCGTGTTTTTTTTGCTCGATGGTCCAGGATGGTCCTCGATGCTTCTCGCCGAGAAAAAAATGCGCACGTCCGAGCGATGCCAAGAGCACCGTCCGTGGGCGGCTCCCTGGGAGGCCTCCGCGACTGCAGGGGGGCCTCTGTGGGGGCCTCCGCGGCCCCGCCGCGAACGCCGGGTCGGCCGGGCGGCGTCCAGGTGTCGGCCGCCCCGCTTCGCCCTCGCGTCCAGACTCGTCCAGAGCTCGTCCAGATTTCGTCCTGATCTCGTCGAAGTGTCGACCAGAGCAACGAAATGCGTACAGCATCCCCGCAACCGCAAAAAGCTTTGTGGGACCCCCGGAGGCTTCCATGGAGGACCGCACAACTCCTGGGAGACCCGCGTGAGAAGAATGCGGGGCTGCGAAGCCCGATCAGGGGATAACAAAGCCAGATTATCCCAGATTCGGCCAAGGACAAGTGGCACGCGTGCACTAGCTCTTGCACCAAGAAGCGGAGAGGGACAGGAGGCATTCGCCTCCTTCCTCCAGGAGTTTCCTTCTGTGGCCGGGGGGTGGGGGGGGAGGACGAATGACGAACGAAGGAACGACGATGAAAATAAAGAGGTCCGAGCTCTAGAGCACAGCTGTGCAAGAGAATTAAAACCGATTAGTCTGGATTGAGCGGGAATTCGACGCACTAAGCGGGATCATGCAGGATGGGGCCAGCTTTCGACCACGGATATTAACCAGTTCCGATGCCGAACTTAACCTTCCAAGGATTGTATCCTGAGTGTGATAGGTGGGAACCGGCCCACGGGTCGAGGGCGCGCAAGCATGGGTTAGCGATCCATGGACCTGGCGCGCGGTCGCCAAATCCATGGATCGGTGGAGGTGCCCTCCACAAAGTGCGGCCAGTGCCGCCTCGTTCGGCGACGGAATCCGCGATTTCCCATGGAAACTGGACCCGTCGCTAATCCACGCCCCCTTAATCCAAGTTTACACGATCGCCTGAACGGGGGGGAAGCATCGCTTCGAAGTCGGCGATGCATCGCCGATAGATCGGCGGTAGGGCCCGATAGCGAATCCGCACGTTCCTGGGCGGGGTGGCCTGTCGGCGATGATGGGCGATCTGAGGTCGATACGTTCCCCCTTGAGCCCATCCCCATCCTGTCGTTGCTTCCTGGCTTCCGGGTCATAACTCGGCGCTCTGCATGGCGGCCGTTCGGGGCGATCCGGGCACTCCCGGAAGGCTTTCGGCGAGGAGCAGCTGCTGGAACCATCCCGAGGCTGGAAAACACCCGAAAGCCAACGGGAGAAAACAACAATCTCGCACCTCGAATCGGCGGCGAGCGTGTCGGGGAAGTGAGAAGGAGGAGGCCTTCTCAAAAGGCGGCGGGACTTCTCAGAAGGCCCCCGGCATTCTGCACAGAATCCTGTGCCTCCGGGGAAGACTTCGAACGTTTCTCAGAACGCCGGCGGACTTCGGAGCCTTCTGAGAAGGCCTGCCCCTTCCCCCCGGGCTCGCCTTCCCGTCTCCTCCTCCTCCTCCTCCTCCTCCTCCTCCTCCTCCTCCTCCTCCTACTCCTCCTCCTCCTCCTCCTCCTCCTCCTCCTCCTCTCGCCTTCCCCCCCGGGCTCGCCGCCGATCGCACCTGTCGCCCCCCCCCCCGAGCCCCTAATTAGCGCTGCCCCGGATCCTCAGGGCGCGCAGCGCGCGGAGCAGGCCAGCGCGCTCTGGCCCCGAGAACCAGGAGGCCTCCAGGCGGAGGAAGGGCGCCTCGGCGGAGGCCGCGCGGAACCTGGGCGTCGTTGGGGCGACCCCTGGCCATCGCTCGGACCACGCTCCGAACCCCTGGCTATCGCTCGGCCTGCAACTGATTCGGCCACGGACCACGCCTTGCTACAAATGGCTGTCCTACGTCGCCGTAGCGCGTCTATGGAGGTTCTGTTGATGCGATATTTGTTATGTTCTTCCCCGAGCGCAGCAGGATCGCAAGGATGCGCCGTCGGAGCGCAAGGCCCGCTCGCCATCGCTCGGACGTCCATTCCCTGTGTTTTTTTCGGTTTCGTGCGCGGTTTTTGACGCCGAAGGATCAAGGATGCTCCTCGATGGTCCCCACCGAGGGAAAAATGCACACGTCCGAGCGATGCCAAGCCCCCATCCCCACTGGCGTGGCCTGGGCCCCACTGGGCGCCTGGCCCACTCCAGGAGGGACAGAAAGGCAGAGGCCTCCCGAGTGGGGTGCGAGCAGATGGGGCTGGAGGATCGCGTTGCATCGCGGATGCATCGGCGCGCCGTCGACGTGGAGAAAATCGGGCTCCACATCATGCCGCATCGCCGATGCATGCGTACTGCTCCGACCCGATCCACTCCGACTCCCTCTGGGAGGCCCAGAAGTCCCGCTGGCGTGGCCTTGGCCCCACTGGCCAGCGTACCCAGCCATGTGGGGGCACACGCATGCCTGCTCCTTCGAGTTTCGCGTTGCCGATCCCCACCTATGAAGGGGCCCCAGGACACACCAAAAAATACACACAAATCAAAAGATTCCCCATATTTTTCCATATTTTCTGGGTTTCTGTCTTCCCCCCCACTTCCCATATTTTCCCATATTTTCTGGGGGATCGAAGATTAATTGTGTCTGTGTGTTTCTTTTCCTCCTGAACCTAGGAGGTTGGGCTGGTAGGGCTGAGACACCATCGCCCAATCCGAAACTTCGGACGCGCGTGTGTGTTTTTGTTCGTGGGCATCCTCTGCCATCCCAAATTGCTTTTGACGTTCCCGAAACCCACTTGCCGCCGCTCGGACGTCCATTCCCTGTGTTTTTTTTCCGGTTTCGTGCGTGGTTTCTGTCGCCAAATGATCCAGGATGCTCCTCGAGAAAAATGCACACGTCCGAGCGATGCCAAGAAACCCAATTAGGGCCTCCAGAGGCAATCAAGCGTGACAAACCCGTCCGTCGCAGCTTCTTCACGACGCGAGGGGGGGGTCCGGGGTGGGGATGGGGATGGGCTCGACGATGCTGAGCACCAGCAGCGGCTGCCGGTCAGCAGCCGCGCCAGGCGGCCATCGCACGGGCTCAGGCTGCGCAGGTCGTCCAGGGTGAGGGCCCGCAGGAGGTTCTCCGAGATCACGCCGTCCTCGATGGCGCGCAGGGCGGGGAGCGCCTCCATCGCTCTGCGGCAGTCAAAGACTCGGCGGCGCACCAGACGCGAAGGCAGAGGGCTCGGATTCAAGTCCTGGGAGGACTTCGTAGGAACGATTGAAGGCTCTTCAGTCCGATCAAAGGACCAGTAGGACAGACTCACACAAATTGCGCCTGGGACGTAGGACGCACTAGGCCAGGCCAATCGGGAGTCATCGGGCTCCATCGGAATTCTGCCAGATTTGGTCCGTTTCCGACCACGGAAATCCGCCGACCCTGTCGGCGTGTGTGGGGTCCGTCTGGTCCCGTCGACGGGGAGCCCTCTTTCGTACCCTCCTTCCCAGCCTCCTCTCCCGTCGGGGGAGAGAGAGAGAGAGAGAGAGAGAGAGAGAGAGAGCACCCTTCCTCGTTCGGGGGACGGATCCGCAGCTTGAGGGGATTCCATCCACGTCCTCATTACGTCAAATGGAGGCCCTTCCCGTGTCCCTTCCCCGGCGGGGGGGGGGTCCGGGGGGGGGGAAGTCAGATTCGCATCGCCTCTGGGGGTCCTCCTCCCGCGGCGATCCTTCTCCGGTGCACCGGTCCTCCTCGGGTCCTC